ATATTCTATGCCTATTTTGTGACTGGGTTGTTTACCTTTTTCTTGTTGAGGTGCTGAAAAATTCTATAAATTTTAGATATAAATCCCTTATGAGATATGTCATTGCCAAATATTTTTTCCTAGTCTGTGGCCTTCCTTCTTACCCTATTGGAGAAGTTTTTCGATGTGCATAGGTATTTGATTCTTAGAAGGTCCCTTTCATCTATTTTATTCTCTCTTGGTTGTAGGTTTTTCATTATTCTTGGAAGACTATTCATGCTGTGGATTAGGGCTTCTAGAGTTCTTCCTAGCTTTTCTCTGATGAATTTTATAGTCTTTGTTTTACTTCTAGGTCCCTGATCCACCTTGAGTAGGTTTTTGTGTAAGGTGTAAAATGTGGGCATTGTTTATGTTTTCTGCAGATGATTTTTCCATTTGCCAACTCAATTTGTTAGAGAGACTGTTCTTTCCTCACTTAACTAAGTCCATCTCCTTGTCAAAGATCAGTTGACCATAGGTGGATGAGCAGATTTCTGGGTTCTCAATTCTATTCCATTGATCCATGTGTCACTATTAAAAAAAATAAAATGTCATTCTGTAGGCATAGTTTCGACTAGCTTCAGGTTCACCAGGAATCATATCCTGAGTCCTGTGATAAAGTTAAGCAGCTTCATTTAGCTCAACATACATTCACCAAATGGTAATCTGTACAGTGCATCATGTTAGTTTTATGTGGGAGATAAACATTAGCAGTGTTATTGTTGTTAGTGTCATCGGTGTGATTCTGACTCAGCAACCCTTCAATATAGTAGAATAAAGCCCTCCCCAGTCCTATGCCATCCTCACAATCATTCCTAGATTTGAGCCACAGTTGCAGCCACTAACTCAGTCCATTTTATTGAAGGTCTTTATCACTGTCCTGCTACTTTACCAGAGACTGGTCCCTCCCCATAGCATATAAAAGTACAGGAGACAGAGTATGACCGTCCTTACTTCTCAGGAGCATTCTAGATGTGTTTCTTCTAAGACTTTTTAAATGCAAAGTTTTACCTTGAAATGCCACTTGTAGGTTTGCTTGCATTGTGTAGAAATGAGATCATAGAGTTTATATGATTCTTTTTTCTGGATTCTTTCACTTAGTATAGTTATTTTGAGTTCCATTAATATTTTCCCCATTAATTATTTTTTATTACTGAGTACTGTTTCATTACATGTGTGTAAAAGACCTTGGGGTGTTTTTTTTTTTCTTTTAATTGTGATTTTAAGGAATATTTACAGAGAAGTGAGATTTTCATTGATTCATTATTGCATATCTTACCCCCTCTCCCTCCCTCCTCTCTCCCCTAGTTCACTTTTTAAAAACTACTTATTCATTGTTACACAATTACCTCTCTCCTAACCCCAGTCCTCTTTGCAATGATGTAACTCTTATTTTGGGCTGTTGTCTTACATATATGTTATACAATGTAATTATATATTCCTTTTAGACAGTTCTTTACTTCATCTGTTCCAATGTAATGTTCATTATCTATCCACTCTTATCCTGTTCTCCTCCCACCCCCCCCCATGTCAGACCTGCTTTATAACAATGGTGTTATACAGTATTTGTCCTTTTGTGACTGAGATTTTTTTTATGGTATTGGTATTTGTTTTGTTTTGTTTTGTTTAAATTTATTACTAATTTCAGTAAAAATTTAGAGACTTTGGATTTCCATTCATTCATTGTTGCACTTTTCTCCCCTCCCAACCCTACTCCCTAGTACACTACCCTCTTGGAAAAGTAAAAGAAAAATTCTTTCATTGTTTTACAAACCCTCCCTCAGGTCCACTCCACCATGTAGCCTTTGCTCTAGACTCCTGTCATGACAAAAATACCTAATCACATATCTCTTTTAAACAGTTTTCTCCCTCATCTGTTTCAATGCAGTATACATTATTGAACCCATCTTTCTCAGTCTCCCCCCAACCCTGAGGTCAGTCCTGTTTTACAACAGTGGCACCAGGGTCACCCAATTTGAATAATATTGCATGAGCTCCTTGTTTTTCAGTGCAGCGTAGTATTCCATTGTGTGAATATACCACAGCTTCTCTATCCATTTGTTTGTTGATGGGCATTTAGATTGTTTCCAAATCCTTGCTATTGTGAACAAAGCCACGATAAATATGGGTGTGCATATATCTGCTTGGATGTCAGTTATGGTCTCTTTGGGATATATTTGCAGTAGTGGAATTGCTGGGTCAAATGGTATCTCTATTTGCAACTTTTTGAGAAAGCGTCATACCGCCTTCCACAGTGGTTGCACCATTTTACACTCCCACCAACAGTGAATCAGGGTTCCAGTTTCTCCACAACCTCACCAACATTTGTTGCCTGCTGTTCTGTTAAATTTTGCAATTCTGACTGGGGTGAGATGATATCTTATAGTTATTTTAGTTTACATCTCTCTTAGAGCTAGAAATTTTGAACATTTCTTCATGTGCTTGTTAACCATCTGAATGTCTTCTTCAGTGAAGTGTCTGTTCATATCCTGTGTTCATTTTTCTTTTGGATTATTTACCTTTATCTTGTTGTGGTGCTCAAGTATTTTATAAGTTCTGAATATAAGTCCCTTATCTGACATGACATTACCAAATACTTTTTCCCAGTCTGTGGCTTCCCTTTTTACCCTGTTGGAGAAGTTTTTGGATGTGCATTGTGACTGAGATGTTTTACTCAGCATGATGGATTCGAGTGTCCCCCCATGTTGTGTAATGTTTTACAAGTTCATTATTTTTCAGTTCTGCTTAGTATTCCATTGTGTAACTATATCATTGTTTTTCTATCTATTCATTTGTTGATGGGAACAGAATTTATTAATAGACATTTTCATTGCTCTCAGTTTTGGGCTATTGCAAATAAAGCTCTAAGAACATGCATGTTTAGGGTTTGTGTGCACTTAAGTTCATATTTCCCTAGGGTAAGTACCTGGGAATTGAGTAGCTGGAAGATAAGATATGTATATGTTTAGCTTTTAAAGACATCGCCAAAGTGGTTTCTTACAATTTCTGATGCCTTGAATTGGAATGCAAGTGAGGAATATGACATATACCATACACTGTCAAAAAGACAAACAAATATATGTTGTAAGACACGGAGTCAGGATGCGCCTTAGAGGCAAGGACATTGAGCTGTTGTCTCTTACTTTGTGCATGTTATCAGGAGGGACCAGCCTCTAGAAGTCTTCGCGCTTGGAAAAACAGAAGAAGAGCAAACAAAGAGGCTGACAAGAGCTTCAATGAAATGGACTGCCTCAGTGAGGTTAGGCACGGCAGGGATTGTGAGGATGGAGCTGGATCAGGCAGGGCTTTGTTCTGCTGTACGCAGGATCTCCATGACGTGAGTTGCCTAATAGTTACAGACAATTCGTGTAAGTGGAGTCACAAAAGTGGTCTTTTATGTCTGACTTTGTTTCATGTAGCATAATGTTTTTGAGGTTCATCATACTAAGTCATTTCTTTTTACAGTTCAAAATTGGGAAGGGTGTATGCCAGGGATGTGTCTCATCTCCAAACCATTTCAATCTATATGCAGAATAGATCATCCAGGAGACTGGGCTCTATGGGGAGGAATGTGGCATCAGGATTGGAGGAAGACTCATCAACAACCTGCACTATGCAGATGACACAACCCTGCTTGCTAAAACTGATGAGGACCTGAAGCACTTAATCTAGAAGGTCAAGGACTGCAGCCTTCAGTATGGATTGAAGTTCAACATCAAGAAAATAAATGCTCTCACCACTGGGCTGATTGCCAGCATTATAATAGATGGTGAAGAGATTGAGATTGTTAACAGGTTTAGTTTGCTTGGCTCGATAATCAACACTGTTGGCACCAGCAGTCAGGAAATCAAAAGATCAATTTCATTTAGAAAGTCTGCTGTCAGGGACCTCTCCAAAATATTGAAGAGCAATGATGTCAATCTGGAGAGTAAGGTGCACCTGGTCCAGGCCATAGTCTTCACAAGTACTTGCTATGCATCAGAAAGCTGGACAATGACTAGGGATGATAAAGACTTGATGTCTTTGAGCCATGGTGCTAGAGAAGAGCATTGAATATACAATGGACTGACTATCAACAGAACAAACAGGTTTAACCTGGAGAGGGTGAAATCAGGCTGCTCCATGGAGGCAAGGATTCTGAGGCTTCATCTGACATACTTTGGACATTTTTCAAGGAGGGACTGGTCCTTGAAGAGGGACATCATGCTTGGAAGGGTGGAGAGCACAAGAGAGGAAGACCCTAGATGACATGGATTGATTCAGTGACTGGTTAGTAGGTGTGCCAGAGCCAATAATATTGCACAGAATACAGCAGGCTTCAGGGCTATATTGTCTCAAGTGACTTGACAGCACATAACAACAACAACAACAACAACATGACTAACGTGTCCATCCATTCATTATACAGACAAGCTATTATTTATCAGTTCATTCATTCATGGCCATTGGTATTGTTTTTACCTTTTAGGGGCTGTTATAAGTAATTTTTTGCTTAAGTGTCTGCTTTAAAGGTTTGGAACAGATATTCTTGCAGTGGAATTGCTGAATCTTTTGCTAACATTGTATTTCTATTTTTAAGGAACCACTAAACTGTTTTCTGATGATTATATGTTCAGAAATTTTGCAAATTGGTTTTAGCAATGGTAACCTGAAATTGGTCATCAAAGGAGTATTTACACCATGGAAATTGGCAAATACTATGAGTAGGGTTTTCCGTTTTCTTTCTCTGCATCTCTATTTTCTTTTCTTCAGGAGATCCAGTTAACCAGCTCACTACTGCTGCTAAGAAAGCAGAGGTCCCAGAACCAGTCTTTTGTCCCATTACAGTGAGAGCCATTCTGTCATGTCTCATCATGAGTCATCCTAGCCCCCACTGCTTCTGGTGATTAAGCAACTGCTTGTCATTCCTATGGGTATTTCCTGTTTTAGATGACAACAGTGAGAATAGATGTAAATCTCTGTGTGCTCTGTTTCTGTTCCAGAGATTATAAAGCAGCTAACATCACCATCAACCTATACATTGTCAATAAACCTTGGCTCTTCTCACTGGCCTGGTGCTCCAGAATTCATTCTGTCACAACAGACAACATTAAGCTCCTGAGTGAGATTGATCACCCTCATTTTTTCATGGTGAGCTGGTTGTTTATATTGTTCTTCCAACCCTGGTGCAAGAGAAATCTATGTTTGTCCCACCGCACCCTACAATTCCTGCTCTTCAACCCACCAGGGAACTACTTAAGAGTAGCTATTTCTTTGATATTGAAAGAACAAGATCTTTCTGTAATTCTCAGGGAGAGATTAAATCTGTTTGTTGTTACAAGTCTTTCTATTTGCTGTCTTATTATAATGTGCTTTAAATTAATTATATTATATAACCCTCTGCCTTGGCTGTTATTCCCATGAGGAAATGAAAGCTCATAAATCTAAGATCTTTGTGCTGAGTCACATGATGTGGGATTCAGAATAAGATCTGAATTACTTAGGTCTGTGTTACTTCCCTAAAGGCATGGAAACAATGAAAACCAGCACGGATCATGGGGAGGAAATCAAGCGAACAAAAGTGAAAAGTAGCCATCACAGATTGCTCTGCATCTTGATTCAGTGAGGGACATTGCATGTTTGGCTTCAGGCCACCTCAATAAGTAAACCAAATACCGCAGTGACGTGAATCACACACGTATTTTCCTCACTGAATACAAGACTTGGTTTACACTGTACGATAGTCGGCTAAGTGTGCAACAGCATCACGAAGAAGTTACACATAATGTGATTATTTCCCAGCGTGTGGTACAGAGACACGAAAGTGAGGACCTGCTGCTGGAAAACGGCACTGATAGACTTGCTCAAGGCAGGGTTGCTGTAAGCCTGCAGTTTATGAAAACTGAACAACTGCACTGTCTGCAAAGTGCAATAACATGCAGAACACCTGTGCTTGCATGGGTCTGTTTCTGTTTCCATGATACAAAGGCTGAGTATAGAGAACAAAACACTTTGAAGAGGGGAGCTGCTGGCAAGTTGCCTACCTTGATTTTCCCCTTCTGAACTGCTACTGCTTATTGCCAGAGCCTTCGGGTCCTGAAGGATCTGGGTCCCAGCTACAATCACAAGGACAAGCCACACCATTTGAGAGCAAGGGTAACTGATTCTTGGTGAAATACTGCTCAAGTGGTGGGTGTCCTGGGGCAATCTCAGCAAGCCAAGGCATCAGTAGTCAGCATGTGCCCCTGAGGGAATGAAGCATCTTGGTTTAATGGAAGTTCATTAAGCTCTTCTATTCTACTTATGTCATGGGGCTGTTGTGAAGATGTGTAAAGGCTGTAAGACCCTTACAACACTCAGAATACCTGCCTAGACCCTACCATTTTTAAAATGCTAGTGCTGTTGTATCAGTATGATCATAAGGTTGGTGGTGTTATTATTATTCAGCCTAAGGAAAGGCCTTGCAACAGGATGAAGAGTGGCCTGAGAAATGCTAAAACGTACCAGCCTCAGAGGTATCAAGTGAAATTGGAGGGGAATGTTGGACCTGGAAAGGGAGGACCAAATCAGGAAACTGAAAACTTACAGTAAAAAGACCTAGAAAATAGAATTATAGGAGTTGGGTAAGTTGGGCAAGGAACATGGGGAAGGTTGCATCATTAAGTAAAGAAATATAACTTCAACATTCTTGTTTCAAGCATGATGATTTAGAGACATGGCTCTCAAATCATAGACTCGTTCCTTTCAGCACCACCTTGGGAGCTTGTTACATGAGGGGTGGTGGTGGGGACAGGAGAAGAGGGGCTAGATAAGGAACACCCACTGTTGGAAAGGAATGTGTGATTAGACATTGTATGTATGGTAATTAGCACTCTAGAACAAAAGGTGCATTACAAAGTGAACTGGGGAGGGAGGTGCAAAAATCAATGAGTGAAAACTCAACCTTTTTGTAAACTTACTTGAAAATCACAATATAAAAAATTTGTTAAAAAAATATACAAACAAGCAAACAAACAAAAAATGCAGAGATTCTGATGGCTCAGATGTCTAGTTATGCCCAGGAACCCATTTATTATTAAAAATTTCCCCTGTAGATTTTGACAACTATTTGGACAATTGAGAACCCAGGCTGTGAAAATACAGAAGACTAGATTGCAGTCCTGGTCCAAAATGGACTTTCTCTGGGACTCAGTTTTACAGTTGAATGACAGGGAATGTTTTTTGTGAAGTGACTTTCTTAGACCTTTTTCTTGAGAGTCAAGGGAGATGAAGAGCCTGAAGTATTCTGTAGCGCACCCTGAATGTGTTAAGCAGTAACTCTTAGGATAGTGGAGGTACTGTCTGTGTTCGAGACCACCACGTCGATCAGTGCTCCTTCACCTGGTCCAAGCTCCCTTCGTCCCTCCCCTCCCTCCCCTACTTGACCAAAGTCCCTTCCAACTGTAAAGCCTTTTAACTGTGATTTGTTTCATGTTCTACAGACTCCAAGGTATTACATGTTTATATGGCTTCTCATAGACTGTATTTCTGCAATTTTAATTTCTGCCATATTTTGTTTTCACTGGTAAGTACGTATTTATCATTTTAAAGTATTTTTTCCCAAATAAAAATAATGAATGGTTCTTAAGGAATGCTGAGGAAAGTGGTTAAAGGAGACTTAAATAAATGGAAAGATGTTCTCCCAGAAAAAGAACACTGAGGGAAAACCAAAACAAAATAGTTACAGTTTTCTTGGAATCCACTTGGCAGATTCTTGGGAAGATGAGGGATAAAAGTGAAATTTCTGGTTTCTTCACATGTTGCCTCTTAGTCCTTTATTTTCCTTAAAAAATGAGAAACTATTTTAAGGCTAAATACACTCACTAAAGCTTAGTCAATTTCCATAATTATGAGTACAATGTGTAGCTCTTATGAGGGGATAGGGGTTGAAGGCTGTCGGGCTGTCCAGAACATGTTTCTTCTCAAAATGAGAAGCCTGGGGTTTAGCTCTGGATTTACCCCTGAGTAACTGAGTGACCCTGGGAAGATGACTATCCTACTCTGAGCCATAATGTCTCTATCTGTTCAGGAAAACGATAAGCCGTTTCAGGGAAGATTCTACAGCATTGTGCAGTCCAAGGTGAAAAGGGGAACATCTTGGTTGAAGAAGGTTAGCTTGAGGAGAGTGTAGGCCCCACCGTAGCTAGGTGTTTCTTCAAGTTTTACCATCTTGTAGAGGAAGAAGCAAACTCTCTGCTTACATGAGAATTTGGCTTGATGGGTTTTCTTGGCCACTATCTTTTCTCAAAGAAACTGTGAAATTAATAAATGGTCTACTTTCTTTTCAGGAAGAAAGAGAAGCAAAGAAGCACATGTACATTCACAAGATCTAGCATTCTTAAAGGTAAAGTAAGATGCCTAGTCCACTCCTAGTTCTCCAGCTCTGCCCATTGCCTCCTTCAGAAAAAGTGTAAGTTGGTCTGACATCTAGCACCCCACAATAATGAAATAGGAGATGGTTTCTTGTGTCTCTGACCAGAGCATCTAAAGATGCCTAGGGAGTTGGGGATTGAGACAAATAGTGCCTGGGAAGTTTAGACTGGGGTCACAGATTTCAGAGAGCCCCTTATTAGTTTCAGATCATGGACTAATCCTGTAAACAATAAAACCCCTTAGAGTATTTTTAGCATGGGTGTTTTATTCACTTGTTCTTGAATTCCCTCATCATACCCACTTTGTGCCAGGCACTCTGAGAGGGGGAAGTTATCTGTACAGGAAGGCCTGTCAAAAAGCAATGAGAGGGAAATATATAAAAGTACAGCAATGGACACCATTTGACCAAGTCCAGGTCAGAGTGGATGGCACGCTCATTAGGGACGAAGGGGCTTTATGGAGCTTCAGTTGTACATGATGTAAGTTGGAAGGAATAGGAAGAAAATTATAGAGATTCTAGAATGTTGGACTAGAGTCTAGACTCTGCACACAGACAATAATAAGATGGCAAATGCATTTCAAACAGGGGAGAATATGGTTAGAATTCTGTGTAAAGGAGTAGGAAAAATGTTTATATAGCAGAATTACTCAGAAGTTGAGGAAGTGAGGTACGCTCATCAAGGGACAGGGGGACTAGAATTTCTTTGTCATGGGATTGTGGGATATCACATCACATATTACTGGTTTTAAAATATCAGAGGGAAAATCAATTAGATAGCAGAAGACTGCAGTATACAATGACATATCCTCAAACAGTCCAGGTAAAGGTACAGTACTCACAAAATTATGAATTAATCTGATTTCTGAGATCCTCTAGCTAGCAGAAGGTTTAAATGCTAGAACATTCACTATGTTGGGAATTCATTCACAGAGACCATAAAAATTTAAGTACAAAATTTTGAAGAAATTAAATAAAAGGTCATGATTTCCACTTGAAAACGCAAGATTCCAGCTAAGCTCATCCAATCTGAGGTACAGGGAGATCTCAAGTAACTGAGTTACATGAGGTTTTTTTAATTATTATATTAGTTTATTTACAAAATTTGAATACATTGTTTTTCAGACCAGATTCTTCCACTTTCCCTCATCCCCCCAATCAAATTGTACAATCTCATGATTAATCCCCCCCCCCCCCACCCCCGCCCCGTGCACATCCTCATCCCTCTGCTTTCATGCTCCCCACCCTTGTATCCTCATAGTCATTCTACAATAATGGTTTTACACAATAGTTGTCCTTGGAGACTGAGTTAGTTCACTCAGCATAATGTTCTCCAGTCCCTCCCAAGTTAGATTTACAAAATCATTGCTCCTGCATGCTGTGTAGTATTCCATTGTGTGAATGTACCATAATTTCTCAATCCATTCAATTGTGGTTGGACTTCTGGGCTGTTTCCATGTTCTTGCGATGGTGAATAATGCTGCTATGAACATTTGTGTACAAGTCTCTGTTTGTGCCTCAGTTCTCATTTTCTCAGGCTAATTCCAAGCAACTGGCTCATATGGAATTTCTATGTTCATCTTTTTGAGGAAGTGCCAAACTGCCTTCCAGAATGGTTGTACCATTGTACAATCCCACCAACAATGTATAAGAGTTCCTACCTTGCCACATCCTCTCCAGCATTTATTACTTGCTGTCCTGTTAAACCTTGCTGCTGTTAGAGTAAAATGGTATCTCATTACAGAATTGAGAACCCAGAAATAGATCCAGCTGTCTGTGGTCAGTTGACGTTTGACAAGGAAATCAAAGTCATCAAATGGGAAATGAAAACCTCTTCAACAAATAGTGTTGGACAAACTGGACTGCTAAGCTCAGAAAGCTGAAACAGGATTCATATCTCACACCATACACAAAAATCAACTCAAGGTGGATCAGAGAACTGGGAGAAAAACCCAAAACCATAAAGTTCATAAGTGACAAACTGGGATCAAGTTTAGAAGCCTTAGTCTCTGGTATAAAGAGACTGCCATATACAGCCAGAACTACACAATCTGAAGAGGATAAAATTGATCAATGGGACCTTCTAATGATTAAAACCCTTTACACAGAAATTTTTTTTTTTCATCAGGAAACATGAGTTGAAAAGAAAAACCCTACTGACTGGGAACAAACATTTGGTAATACCATCTCAGACAAGCATCTCATAATGAAAATTTACAGAATATTCCCAGGCTTCCACACAAAAAAGACTGATAACCCAGTTACAAAATGGGCAAACAGACACATGAAGAAATGCTCAAAATCACTGGCAATAAGTTTCAATAATTTTAAGCTTACTCTTCTTGCCACATGTGTCAAGAAGTCTCCAGGTTACTGTCTGAAATAAAACAATATTCCAGTTGCCTTATGATTTTTAATAGTCAAACCAACAAACAAACAAAACACAGAAATGGTGAGGAAAACATGGACTGCAAGGAATTTTTTTAAATGAGGTTTTAAAAATTGATATTTTAACAAAAGTTTACCCAAAACTTGGATTTTCATTCATTCATTATTGCACATTTCCCTCCATACCAGCCCTTTGCTTTTCTCTTTGAAAATATTCTTTCATTGTTGCACAATTTCCTCCCTACTGACATCCCCCAGTCTACTTTGCTATGCACCTCTCATTCTGAACTCTTTTCATGCAAATAATACTTAATCATATATTTCTTTTAGACAGTTCTTGGAAAGAATTTTTAAAGGAAAAATTGAAGAACTGTATAAATTGAGGTGGGGGAGGTAGCTGTAATCCCTTAGAAAAAGTACAAGTTAACCTGATCTTAATCCCCTACCATATAAAAATTCTGAAAAGAAAATGAGTAGAAAAGAAAGAATTTTACTTGTTTGGGGATTTCTTTAGTTGCATGTTACAGAAACAAATTTTACCTGGACTACACAGGATAATGAATTGAAAGACTATTTGAGTACCACCTAGAATGTACAAGACTAGATTTAAAACCAGGGAAGGAGGAGGAAGCCTGATCAGTAACCAGCTCATGCAGCTCCGTTCAAGTTGAGAATAGAGTCCCCACAGCACATCACAGCCACCCCCAGGGTAGGCACACACTGCTGCTGCCACCAGAACATCTTTCTGCTCCTGACAGCGTGTTTTTCAGGACTTTAAAGGAATCCTTAATAGTCTTTCTTGCATAGTTTATCATGTCTTTGTGCCTCTGTTCATGACAATTGTTCCCTTATTACTGGTCTTCAAGAATTTTATTATGGGGTGGTGGTGGTGTAGGTGTAAGAGAGAAATATTTATCCTGAGAGAGAGAGGTAGGCAAATATTTACCCTGCTTGGGTTTAACTTCTTAGATCTGTGTTGTGACACCAAGTTGGTTCTGACTCAGATCAACCCTGTGTACAAAAGAACAAACTACTGCTGTTTTGTTACTATAATTGTCATGACATTTGGAAAGTTTTCAGCCTTATTCATTCAAATACTTTTTTGGTCCCCCTTTTGGAATTCCAGTTACATGAATGTTACACAGTTTGACATTGTCTCACAAGTTACTAAAATTCCATTTTTTTCTTTTTTGCTTATTTTCTTACTGTGCTTCACTTTAGATAGATTATATTTCTGTGTGAAACAATTTTTTTGCCCCACCCCCATTTTTGCTATGTAACAGACCTAATAGCTTGAAACAACACAAATTGATTACCTCATAGTTTCTGTGACTCAGTAACCCAGCCACGGGTTAGATGGAGCCTCTGCTGAGGGCATCACCACGGTAAAGTCACAGCGTTGTTCAGGGCTGCAATCCGTCCAAGGTTTCAAGTCTTCTCTTCCAAGCTCTCCAACTATTGGCAGAATTTCATTTCTCACAGTTTTAATCCGAAGTCACATATTTTCTTGCTGGCTGCTGGCAACTTTTATTCTGAGCTCCTAGAGGCTCCCTTCAGGTCCTAGCCACATGCCCCTCTTAGACCATGGAACCTCGCTTCACTGCCAGCATATAGAGGGCGGGGGCTGTCTTAGCACACTGCAAGGTGGGAAACTTGGGGGCCTTCTTAGGATTTTATCTCCCACATTTTGTCTTCAGTGTAAGTGATGTTTTATTCTGTAACTTAACCTGCTGCTAATGTCAACCAATTTTAATTTCAAATATGTTTTTC